ACACACGCCTGACACCACAGCCTGGCCCCCTGCCTGACACACACACCTGACACCACAGCCTGGCCTGCCGCCTGACACATGCCTGACACCACAGCCTGGCCTGCCGCCTGACACACACGCCTGGCATGGCCCCCAGACACACACGCCTGACACCACAACCTGGCCCGTTGCCTGACATACACGCTTGACACCACAGCCTGGCATGGTTCCCGGACACACACGCCTGACACTACAACCTGACCTGTCGCCTGACGCACACCCCTGGCACCACAGCCTGGCCCGTCCCCACTCCTGCCCCCGGGGGATGGAGGCCAGGACCCCGGCCCTGCTGCAAGGCCCATGTGCAGGTTCGGGGCGCTGCGCTGTCCCCTGCACTCAGCCAGGCCTGGGAGAGGCTGGCCCATCATTCACCTGGCTCCGCCCCGCGCACTCCGTCAGCAGCTTCACCGTCCTGGTGAGCAGGGGCTCCCGGCCTGGGTACTCCGCACCACACCCTGGCCTGCCGCCTGACACACACGCTTGACACCACAGCCTGGCCTGCTGCCTTACGCCTGACCCACATGCCTGACATCACAGCCTGGCCTGCCGCCTGACACACACGCCTGACACCACAGCCTGGCCTGCCGCCTGACACACACGCCTGACACCACAGCCTGGGCTGCCGCCTGACACACACCACGCCTGACACCACAACCTGGCCCGTTGCCTGACATACACGCTTGACACCACAGCCTGGCATGGTTCCCGGACACACACGCCTGACACTACAACCTGACCTGTCGCCTGACGCACACCCCTGGCACCACAGCCTGGCCCGTCCCCACTCCTGCCCCCGGGGGATGGAGGCCAGGACCCCGGCCCTGCTGCAAGGCCCATGTGCAGGTTCGGGGCGCTGCGCTGTCCCCTGCACTCAGCCAGGCCTGGGAGAGGCTGGCCCATCATTCACCTGGCTCCGCCCCGCGCACTCCGTCAGCAGCTTCACCGTCCTGGTGAGCAGGGGCTCCCGGCCTGGGTACTCCGTCACTTCCACAATCTCCGTCACGGTGGTCTCCGTCACCTCCGTCACCTCCGTCACCTCCCTGGTGGTCAGGGGCTTCCAGGCCCAGCTGCTGCCCGAGCTCCGGGGGGGGGCGCCTCCCCGGGGGGGGCAGGGCGG